GTGGCAGACCGAATGTATTTATTGAGAAAACAAAAGAAATTGTAAGGCGGTCTCTTGGAAATCCTCTTGAATGCCACTGTAACCCCATGATTACTGTTGTTGTTATAATGCGGATCAATTATAATGTCATTTTTGCTTCAAAGATAAACTGCTGATGGAAAAAATCCCAGAGAAGACATACTTCCAAATCCTTTTTCCTTTTCCAGATTCATTGCTCTCCGCGAAATAAGATTTTTTTTTCCGTCGTCACGCGTATATTCCTTTAGAAGTTACCCCAAAAGACTCGAAAGTTCCAGTTCAGTCACACTTTATTTTAAGTACTCTTAGGCTCCGTTAGGGTTCAGAGAACTGTTTAAGCTTAAAAGGAGAGAGAGATGTACTCTGCTTTTCGCATGAAAAGCTGTATATCAGAGGTTTTGCAATGTGCAGTATTCGGTTTAAAAAAAAAGAAAATCCGGAACCGTTTGTAAGACATGTTTTAATTTCATTTCACTGAAAACGACAGCCGATTCGTATGATGTTACACTAAACCCACTGCACCTGTAAAATAAAATAAAGTCTTGAGAATGTATTTACCATCCTACATATCAATGGTTCATGTTCTCAGGTCAAAGTTTTAAAGCTCTGTTAATGCCAAATAAATGTAGAAAAAGCAGGGTTGTATGAAGCATGTATTGAATATAACATTAGAGAATTTCAGCATAGGAATAGTCTGCAAGTTTAGGATGTTTAAATTTGTGCTGTATATTTAGATTTGCCTATTCAATTATGCAGGAAAATTATTTCATTCCAGATATTTTAAAAGGAAAATCTCTGGACTATAGTTCATTCAAGTCTCTATTATTCTCAATACTGAAAATTCGTCAAGGTATACGGTATTGATGGTCAGGTTTCAACTCAACGAGACAGTCTTTGAAGTGATTGATTTCGACTGATACCTAGAAATAATCACAAAATTCTAATGAATAAACATCAACAAATCCAATGACCTCCGAAAAAACCTTATAACCCCTACTCTCAGACTGATGACAGTGCACTTCCGCAAATCCTGATTCTCTTATATTCCGTGAAGAGTATATACCCATATCCCAGGACCTCTAACGCTTCTGCAAAACCTTTGATCCCGAATAGAAGGATCCAAAGTTAATTACCCCTGCTGTAACTCAATCTTGAGTCTCCGAAGACATAATTTGAGACGGCAACTGACTAGATTCTATACACGGTTCTTCCCGAAGATTCTGGCACTGCAACCGTCAAAGTTCTTGAGCTTTTCAGCTCAAGAACTTTGGCAAATGCAGGATAAATGGGGAGCGAGAAATAATCGCTTTATTTTTCTCGTTTCACACATTCCGCAATGAAAATATTTACGTACAGCAATTGGGCAATCAGCAGGTTACCCTGAATTTGGAAAAATTTAATTCACAGTAATACAGATATACATTTATTCAAAAGCAATCCTAGCTTAATTTACTGTTTTATCGCATTGCAATTTTTGTTGAAAAACTATTTTATTGTACAGCAGTCGCTGGTCCATAAAGCAAAAACAAAGAGATGGAACGAAATTTTGACGTTTAGTGAAAAATCGCGCTCTATTTGAGTAATGCTAATAAAACTTTCGGAAAAGCGGCTGAAAAGAGAATTTTTCAGCGGAATAGATAAACTTTCGAAACATTAAAGAATCTTAGCCACAAAAGGAATTTTATTTTCAATCAGGACACCACCACCAATTTATCATTAAAAGCAAAATTTCGAAATCCCTTCAAAATAATTTGCTAAATTCAAACCCTATATTACTGGTGCCAGCTGCGTTTCAATCACTCTAAAATACTATAAAAAACAATAATACGCAGCATTCGTTGGTGTAAACTTTCTTTTGCCCAGCGTTTGTCACTTCACAAAGCATTTGAGGTACAGTACTGCATTTGCTTAATTCCAATCCTGGTTTGATTTCGCTCTGAAATGACCGTATAAAAACTATGTAATTCATTCATTCATTGTTTATTCACGTGTGTAGAAGATTACGTAATGCATTTTACTGCCCTTTCTCCCTTGGTCGCCGTCAATGAAAGAGATCGTAACCTCAAACCACCAGGAAATAACCCGCAGATTGATGGAATTGCTACCAGTGATGATCCATGAATAAACTGTTACAACATATACAACATGCCTTACATTGACATTTTAATGAAATACTCAAAAAAAACTTCAAATGACATATCAACAGAGTATAACGACAGATCTTCATACATCATACCGGTGTGTTTCGATGAACCAGGAAAAAAATCCTATGGCGGAGTCAGAGACTATTTATTGTTCTGCTTATACAAAACTCAAAATGTCAAGGGAAAGTCAGAGTATATAATTTGTTATTTTGAAGAGCAGCTTGAAAGTTAAGATTTCCTCTTGTTCGTGGAGATTGATTGAAATTTCATTTCAGCCTGAAATTACATGACATATGACTGCATTTCTGGGGCGTTTGATCGGTTTTGGCCTGCCTGTAAAAATTATCTGAAAATGTTTGTTCACGATACGCATGGTCATTAACACTGTATACTTGTATAGTTAGACGTGTCTGAATATTTTAATGATGTCAAGAAAAATATTTTGAAATAACAATGTTTTTCTGCCCTATTTTATTTTCATATTGCTTTCAATGTGAAAATATCCCTAAATGATATAGCCAATCATATTCATCACGATATAACGTAGTAATGAAGACTAGGACGCTTTGACTTTTGCAGCATAAGAGTCGAAGTTATAATGATAATTATCATGTGAAACGACAAATTTGCCTTGCATATGAAGCAAAAATTCAACTATAAAATTCACACATGAATAGTGAACTTATTCACGTATATATTCACTCAGGTGCCCAGCTTAATTTGAACACGAGGTCATTTCGCGCAACGGATAATCTCCTCATCAAGCAACTTCGTCTTGGAATTTTTCCAAGAATTCTGGTGTCAATTTTTGATATCGACTTTCTGACTCTTTTGTTTAAATAATTTGTCTTTTTTCTTAGAGGGGAGGTGGTCCACAAGAGAAATCAGTGGCTCCTGTCGAAGAATCAAGAGTTTTTACACGAGGCCACACCTGCTTCGGCGTCGACCTCGTCGCGTTGTCGTTGGGGGGCCGGGATATAAGCCGCGACGAAACCCGCGGACCGGGTTCAGTGTCTTTCCCACGCAGTGCGATGCATACTTGATCCACTTATTCGCAGTTAGAGGTCGATAGAGGCAATATCCTGTAGAAATAAAAAAAGACGAAGACTAATTGCACCACGTTGTCAAGATCGTAATAAAAAACCGTCTGATGCAATTAACTCTTGAATGCGGAGAGGGAGAGTTAAACGAAGAGCGCTTCGTTCGGCGTTTATTTGGAGCCAGTTTCAAGGAAATCTTTGACCGAACTACATAAATTTCCAAAATCTGTAAATTTTTACGAAAGAGTAGGTAGTATTGAATTTTTAATGGTTCAAGAGTGTTGGAATTATGCATGCGGACTTTCGCACGTGTAGCTTGAATGTTCTGTGATTTTTGAATTCATTACTGTATCTCTTTCTGCTAATTTTAATAGACTCTTTTCACTTACACGCAGCTAGATTTCTGTTCCTAAAATTGGTCGAAATTTGAATGAAAACCGAAGTCATCAAGATCCAACAGTGTTTGAAGAAATGAGATAACATTTCTTCGATCTCCCAAGAAAAAGGAGGGCTCAGAAAATCTGAGAGATTTTGAATTGGGTGAATATCTGAAATTTAGAAAGGATTTCCGGAGAGCGTTTTCCTCTGAATATTTCACCTGCACAATTAGTTTTCGCGAGAAAAGATCAAAATTCACTTCTTTTACCAAATGAGGAATGATACGTGACCATACTTGGCTAATGACAACTCAAGATTATTCGAAGGATGGAGAAACGTGATTCTCCTTTTTCACAGACTAGATAAAAAACCAGACCCTTTCTAATATTAATTTACAAGAAATTTAAAAAAATCCTTTGTCATGGAGCCAGTTTGAAAAACGAGCTGAAAACATGCTTCAGCGAAAATGGGGAGAGGGATCGAATTTTCTTTTGGTAGACCAGGTGCAGAGGTCCTTTTTAATCACACTTTCCTATATGAAATACTGTATGTATTCAAGGATGCTCTTCCCATATCCGTGGTCTGGCTAAATTAATATTTCCCTTCCAAAAAATTTTAATAAAAAAGGGAGAGAAGCAGGTGGCAGTTCGTAGCTATACGTATTCGTCAGTGCAAAAGTGTGACGAGTATATAGGACGTCGACCACATGAGACCAGTGATTTGCAAATAAAAAAATTAAAAAAAAAAACAGAGAAGAAAGAGACTGGTTTAGGCTCTCCTTTTTTCAAATTTTTGTGCACAATTCGAACAGGTTATTTCTTGAAGATTATTCTTTTAATCTTGAACTTGATCAGAAACGACACAATACGTGCCAGCGCGTGAGGAGAAACACGTGTTCATATTTATCACAAGGAAACTGTATTATTTTAATGTGTCTGAGTTCAAGACCTTAATAATTATCATGTGGAACGACATATTCGCCTTGAATATAAATCTTTAAAAAATTATAAATATTCACGCATGAATAAGGAACTTATTCACGTATTTATTCACTCAGGTGCCCTGCTTAATTTGAACATGAGGTCATTTTGCTCAACAGGTCATCTCCCCATATGCAGCAACTTCGTCTTGGAATTTTTCAAATAATTCTGACGTCAATGTTAGATATCCACTTTCTGACTCGTTTCTTTAGATAGTGTGTTTTTTTAAGAGGGGAGGTGATTCATGAAAGAAATCAGTGGCTTCTGTTGAAGTATCATGAGTTTTTAGACGAGGCCACGCGTGCTTCGGCGTCTTGAATTCATAAAGGTGCCATTTATTGTGGTGATTAAGATTCAAGCAAAACTTGGGATGTATAAAAGCCAATTATATTGTCAAAATATGTGCAACCTTATTCACAGAATTGAGTTTATGAATTCCGTTTTACTTTTTTCCTCAGTGTATTTTCCGGCATCTCCGACACTACTGCAGACATGGGACTCAGTCGCGTGCTTCTTGCCGTTGTGCTGTTTGGTTGTGTGGTCTGCTGCTTCAGCACACGAACAAACACAGAGCTCTACCCAAGGTAAAGTTTCAATTTTTTGAAGTACAAAAACACCGTTCAAATAATTTCCACCTTTGCTGAAAATGGGAATTGCTTGACGGCAGTGGAACATCTTTCTAAAAATGTACGAAGCGTGGAAAGTTCAGCGGCTGTGCAATGAAAAGTTCTTCGACTCCAGTTTCTGAAAATTGAAGGAAATTTCAAGTTTCATCCCAATTGCATTCCCTGAATTGGAGCAGACATATTTTTCATCACTAACGATGCAGTTTCCATTTTTACTAGTTTCTTGAGGCTCACTTTAACGTAAATGAACAGCATTATCAACGAAAACACGGATATCGAAGTTGAAGAGGTCGAACTCATATTTTCACAAGAAAGTAATCATTTTTTGCGATCAATGCGCATATAATTGAAATGTTGTGTGTGAAAACTGCCTAAATCTCGAACAGCGAATATAGAAAGGTTCAAAGCATCTCGCACACCGAAAATAAAACATTTTCAAATAATTTTTAAACGTAGTCGCACGGCTGTATTTCAATACAGAGACCATTCAGTCAAATTCCTTTTCAAATCTCATACGAACAACGCAAGTCTGAAATTTCAATTTTTGTTTATTTGGCCGATTCGAACCACACAATTAAAAAGGTAAAAAAAAATCACTATTACAGTACGAGAGAGTTACTATACACGCTCCACATCTCAATAATCGTATTCCAAAAACTATAAACTGTATCATTGTCAAAAATTCTGCTGAAAAATCCATCTTGTGTACAAAGAAAAGAATTGAACTTCTTCTGAGTCAGAAGTGTTGAATGGATCGTCTAATTTTTCCAAAAATAATAATCCTTTTCATTTTATTCAGTTGTGATGTCGATGAATTTGAAGGTTTTTCGCGAAAAAACCACTTGTGGAATGTTTATACAATTTAAAAATCGTGATGTAGTTTTCAAGTTGTGTCCTTCATCCAGTTGCCTAGCATCATCCTATATATACACAAATATGCAAGCCCTAAGAATGAAAAAATCAAACCACAGCCGCAAAAACGTTGATGCAATCGAATCATCCGAAACCTATACTGATGGTCGCTCCCCACCATCATTCGTCATCATGCGAATGTTAGAAACGCTGGCAAGTTATTTGCACTCATAATTTTCAAAAAACAATTGAGAATAATTGCTGCTTGAATGCCAAATTGCGATATGTATACTGGGTATAGGTATTTTTCTTCTTCTTCCAAGTAGACAAACTGCACGGAAAACCTAATTGAGAGCCCGAGAAACGTTCCTTACATTTACTATCGTCGCGAACGCACGTGTATATGGGGGTATCGCATCCGTGTCACAGACAAATGCAAGCGCAAATACCGCATCACCCCCGAGTTTTATTCATTTATTTTGTTTTCCTTCCCATCCCCGTACATATATATATATATATATCCGCGAATGGTGGTGGGGCAATCGACACCGACACAAAAATTCCGTCCCCACTCGACACTATTTACTTTCCTCCATAGGACACACACACACACACACAAACGTTATATAGAGAGAGCTTCGCTATTCACCTCAACATTGTCTACAACGGATGGCCTTCTCTGCGTATAGTTTCACGGGGGTTGCTAATTTCTGCGCAAACTTTGCTCTAGGTAGCTTCTTGAGAAACTCAATAAGGACACACGAATCATGCGGACGAAGATGGCTGTGAAAGTGCCCGTCACTTAAAAGGGGTGTCTCAGAAGCTCTGGTAACCTGTGTGTTGTCACACCTCACCGTGAAAGCAAACAGATTTTTCAACCTCACCGGAATTGAACGACAACCTTGTCAATTTTTATTGAAGAAAAAGCTTATTAGTTGGAATAAGGAACCAAAATGATGCGTCTGCATATAAATTTGTAAGTGTATATAATAAACTGATGCTGTCAAAACACGAAAATCCCATTTTTAGAAGAAATACTGGAGTTAAACCAGCTGGTTTTGTTGTTTCAACTTCAGGGGTGCGGGTTTTCGTGGCTCTGAAATTCAAAGGCACGATTATACTTGAAAATAAAAATGTCAAGTGATACTTAATTTAACGTGGAAACGAGGATTTGGTGGAGCACATTCCACATTTTCTCATTTGTTCTGTGTTCTTGCCATTAGTGACGATAAAGAAGAATTCAAGTTCACATAACTTCGATTCCCACTCAGCGTCTCAGCGAATACCATAATTACAGCGCGGCAAGTGTTGACATACATAAACGGCTATACAATTGCAAGAAAAAAATATTTGGCTTCGTGTTTAAAGGACGAAATTTTCAGAAATGAGTCTCGTCGCCAAAAAAAAGAAAGAAAAAAAAGGTTCTCACGTAGCCAGAGGAAAGGGAATAATTTACGGAGAAGCTACTGTACGGTCAGGGTTCGACGGGAAAATTTCCCCCGGATAAATGATTCAGTCCATGCAGCACTCACTGAGACAAGCGGTTGATTTCGTTCTCGAATTCCTCTTCATACCTAAGAAATGTCAGGTGAATAATTTCCCCGCTTCACGTGTTTCTGTTTGCAGACAAAGGCGTGGCTCTGACCAGCGTCTCGCCGAGCTGGAGGCCCTGCTGACTCTGACCAAGTTCATCAAGGAAAAACAGGCGCAAGAGGCCATGTTTGATAACATGTGAGTCGGCGACATTTTTCACAACCTTATTTTGACTTATTTTTTAAAATTTATTCTCATTTTTAGTAAGAAAAAACTACACCCGGTTGGCTAGCTGAAAATTCAAATTTTATTTTTATTTTTTAATACATGTTTGCAGACAGCCGTGTTACGTATGACACAATTCATGACAACGAAGTAAGTACGGACTGTGGGCAAGAAAAAATCATGTTAGAAAGGACTGTATTCAGTTGATCAGAAATTAAAAAGATTTTAGCATTGTTCTGGGTTCATTCGAATAGTAAAAATTATCTTATTGGCGCCGTGAAATGAATTCACGTCGTGAAATACGCGTCGTGAAAAGTAATATTAATACTCCATATGTGGCATTCTATAGAAAAAAGTTGGCTCAGAAAGAAAGCTTTTTTGATTCAACTATCTTATTGCTCAATGATTCAATTAAAATATGTCATTATCTACCGGTTTGAAGGCCAATAACTGATCACAAAAGGAACTTGGGGTAAAAAAAAAAAATTTTATGTAAAGGCTCAAGTAGTTCAGTAGAATAAAGCGCTTGATATTTTATTAATATCGTAGTTTTTTTGCTAAAGCTACAATATATTGTTCAATTCTGAGCGTTAATATTTAGAAATTTTTATTCTTACAATCATATTACAGAGCCAAAAGCGACGCAAAGTGCTCCAAGCCGAACAACATAACTATTCAGTGAGCACTGTTATTGCTAATTGACGCCAAACACTGTAATTAAATATTTTTAGGATTAGATTGTGTTATTGGAGGATAATCTATGCTTGATTCTGAACTGATTGGAATGTTAGAATATTCAATTTTCAAATTTCTTTCGATTCAAGCTATATACCTCTTCAATAGCATCCAACACTTCAAGTATCAACCAACTCATATCTCTATATACGTACCACTCTCCGTAGTTACAATAAATATGAAAAATTATATTTTTTACAGGGGCTGGAGATGATATCAGCGAAATATACTTTATGAAATGCGATGAACGAAAAATTCGATGAATAAATACATGACAACTACACAAGCGATTTTGCGCGTGGTTTTCCAGAGTTTTTGCAGTAATCTGCACCAAATTTTCCTCCCCAGTTTAAAATAATTTAGCTTTTGGCTGAGATTAATTGGTATGCGCACACTTACTATTAAGAAAATTTTCATGCGCGAAGTTATATGCATCCTGTTGATGCCAAATTTTGGTAGAAACAAACATTCATATATTTAAAAAAAGAGTCCAAAATTATCTCCCTTCCTTGCCTTTTTTTTTTGTGTGACTTCAGAGGCAAACGGAGGAGAAGAGGCATTATTTTGGCAGATGATGGTGATTCAGTCGACCACATACAGCAAATCAAGCCTGAAGCTTTGACTCAACTTCAAAACTACGACATGGTTGG